GTGTGGAGGGATCATTATTCCTTTTCTACAGGTGAAGAAACTGAGGTCAGAGAAGGGAGGCGAATTCCTCCAGGTCACATAGCAAGTTCATGGAAGAGCAGCACTGGCTAGTTTCCACAGACAGAAGCTGGCAAATCAGAAACAGCCCTTGAGCTGCATTCAAGAGCCCAGAACTGAGAGGGGTAGGGCTGTCAAGTGGGGAAGGCTGTTTGTTCAGCTCAGCCTCAGTCCACCCTGTCCCAGCTCAGTCCAGAGAAGTGTTGACTTTGGACAAGTCCCATAGGAAGGAAAGGTGACATTACCTTTGGGGGGGGGGCTCCTCTAAGCCTGCCCCACTGTGCTCTCCACTCTCATTGAATCACTTACCCACCAAATCACTTACTCACATAAGCAATGACAGATACACCCCAGGTCTCTATCAAGGAGTTGACAGTAACCAGGCAGTCATGGCACATGTGCTGTGGGCTAGGTTAGGACAAGAGGGAAGTCACACAAACGCAGAGAAGAGGGGCCAGTGGAGGAGGTACCGCTGAATCTGAGACCCGCAGGGTGAGTAAGAGTTGGGCAAAGTGTTTCTGGAGGAGGGAACAGCATGTGCAAGGGAAGGAGGCTGGAGATGAGGTCATGTGGCTGAGGGTAGAATGTGAGGCAGAGGGGCAGAGTGCTGATGCTGGAGAGAAAAGCAGGGCCATCTGAGAGCAACAGGGAGCCATGACAAAAGTTTTAAGCGGGGAGTGGGGTATGGTCATATTAGTATGGGGCAGGGCAAAGCTGGAGGCAGGGAGTCCAGAGAGAAGGCTGAGAGGCTGGTGAGTCTGATGCATGGGGTGGGATGAAGGATGGAGAAAGGGACAAGAGGGCAGAAGTGAGGAGCCAGTGAATTCTCCTAGGAGCACGGGGGCTGTTTCAGAGCTGGAGTACTCAGCCTCCCTCCCCTTCTTCGGAGAGGACAGGCACAACAAGTTGGTGGTTCTGCCGAACAAGATCCAGAGCCCCCACATTGTTCCCAGCAGCAGGAGGACCCTCAGAATTTGATTCTTGCAGTCTCCCACCATATCCCTGGGTAAACGTCTGGTGGCAGGAGCCCAGCCCACACTGGACAGGAATATAAGGGTTGGGAGTTCTTCCTTTACATGGGTCCCCTTGTGTCCTCACTGGTCCAAGCTCTGTTCTCTGCCCCCCCCCCCCACGCCCAGACAAGACTGGCCTCCTTTCCATTGGACAGTCCTTACAGGTCCCTCTGTTTACTCCTTTACCAAGGACACCTTCCCATTCTGCAGCTGAATAAACCGAGGCAGTAGTATTGGATTTCTCTGCTACCTAAGCACCTTAGCTGATGTGGGGAAAAGAGAGTTAGCCACGGTTTGAATCTTGGCCTTGCACTTATCAGCCAAATGATCTTAGGCATTAGCCTCAGTCTTCTCATCTGAAAAACAGGAATAATATTTTCTCTTGCAGAGTGGCTGTGTGGACCAAATGTATCAAATTAATTGTAATACCTCATGACAGCGAGAACTTACTGAGGGACTATCATGTGCCAGGTGTTGTCTTACTGGGCTGGGCCACATGCCAGACCCGCAGTGGGTGTTCAGGACATGCTTGTTGGGAAGCAGGTGGATAGCACGAGGCCTGGCAGCATGCAGACCTGGGTTCAAGTCCTGTCTCTGCCCCTTGCTTTTTAACCTCAGCCAAACCAGCCTCTGTACTTCAGCTTCTCCATCTGATAAATGGTAACAGCAGGAACAGCTTGCCAGGTTGGATAAGACAAGGCCTGTGAAACACCTGATGTTACTAATGTCACTTCTTTCCTATGTATTAAGCACCCTCTAAGTGCCAAACACTGGGGAGGGGATAGAGGGGGGAGGGGACTATTGGCCACTTGCCCAGGTCGCTCAATCTTTGCCTCCAAGCTATGCTTGCCCTGCATCATGCCCCCTCCAGAACTGGGACCCTGATGTGTGTGAGTCATGGCTGCTGAGGACAGGGGCACAGCCTGCCCCAGGGACGCAGTCCTCTACCCCTACCCTGCCGCCTCTGTCCCTTTGCCAGACGTGGTGGCTTGCAGACTCCAGCGATCATCACCCCAGCCCTTCTCTCCTCGTCCCCTCTGCTGGTCGTCAGCTGCATCTTATGGAAGACATGCCACCAGTGGTCTCGGGTCAGCAGCCCCGGGTGACCATCCCAGTGAGGAGCTCAGGTAAGCCACTGAAGGACAGAAGTTCCATTTCTGTTTTAGTGTCCTGCTGTGTGAAGTGGGGGCGGAAGTAGCTGCTGGCCAAGGAGCCGACTTCCGGTGTTACTTTGGGCCTTTCTAGCCGGGCGGAGGCCAGGCCGCCCCTTCCCACGCCACTCGCGTCGTGGGCTGACCCTCTTCCTGTGGGAGTCCCGCCCTCGGCGAAGGTTCGGTTTTCCACTGGTGGAGGCTGGGAGCTGCGTCTCTGTCTTTTAACCAAGGGATTCCGCTTTTTCGCTGTTTGGTAAAGGCCTAGCCTCCTCCCGGCCGGCAGAGGGCGCGAGAGCTTGTGACTCGAAACCCAGGAGCCACTGGACGCGGAAGTGACGTCACACTACCGGAAATCCGCCGCCGCGAGGTCTGAGGGACTCTCCGGCAGCTGGAAATCCCGAGATCGAGGTTCTGGGAAGCAGTGAAGAGTATCGTTTCTACCCCTGACGTCCTCGAATGCTGAAATGAGGAAACTGAGCTCTTGGAGGAAGGGGCTCGCTCATATTCCCTCAGCAAGACCAGCGCGATTGCACATGACTCTTGGGAGCAGAGGGACGACCCCTTGGAGGGTGGGGGTTGCTGCGCCCGAGGGGTCCCCGAGGCAAGTCCCAAGAAATATTCCCAGTCCACAGATGGGGAAAACGAAGCTCGAGAGAGGCAGGGACTTGCAGGGTAGGTCGGGTTGCCAGATTTAGCAAATGGAATGCAGGACGTCCGGTTAAAGTTGAATTTCAGGTAAACAACAGTGGTTTAGTATAAGAATATCCCAAATATTGCAGGGGACATACATTTACTAAAAAACTACTCGTCGTTTGTATAAATTCACATTTAACTCTGCGTCCTGTAATTGACTGGTATTCCTAGGCCAAGGTCAACCCAGCTGAGTGAGGAGCAGAAAGAGCTGTTGAAACATCAGCAGTGCCTCCCCACCTACGGCTCACTAGTCTGTGGACCTGCGCTCCTCCCAGGCGCAAGGCTGAGGTGGCCTGCAGGGACCACAGCCCCTTCCAGTCCTGGTCTGCCCTCCAGAGGATCTAGGCTGCAGACACACACCCTCCAAGGCTAGCTTACTCAAGACACCTAGGCTCCAGATGGCCCTGGCAAGTAGGAGAAACGCCTGTCTTTTTTGAATAAATAGATTTGCAGGAAGGCAAGTAGAGAGAAAAATTATAATGCATTGTCATCAACAGCTCTTTAGTGTGGGTAAGTGCAGAATGCTATGAAAGTTCAGAGAAGCAATAAGTACTTAACCAAGAGAAAAGGGAGAGATAGCCCAGCTGAGACCTGAAAGATGCATTCAGCAGTTATTTATTGGACATCTGTATGTAGGGCAGTGAACATCTGTATCTAGGCACTGGGGGCACAGAACAAAACAAGTATCTGCCCTTAAGAGCTTAATCCTGAATAAAATGTATGTCAGATGGTGGTATATGGGGGGAGGATTAAGGGTACTGAGGGGATTAAGGAATGCTGGGATGGCAGTGCGACAGTTACAGTTTTAAAGAGGAAAAGCCTCACAGGGGACAATGAGCAAAACTTTGCTGGGAAGAAAAAACCAGTTCAGGGAGAAGAGAGACTGGGAAGTGCTGTTTTCTAAAGGGTGGTCAGAGAACACCTCACCTAAAGAAAACATTTGAGGAGAACCTGAATGAAGTGAGTGAGCCCCACAGGTAACCTGGGACAATCATTCCAAAAAGACGGGACAGTATATACAGGCCCAGCAGTGCGGGGCTGGCCAGCAGACCCTGAGCAACGGATGAGTGGATTACTCCGACACAACATTTGCTGTGAAAGAGAGGGCTAAGGGATGGCCTGGCTATAGCAACCAGGCAGCCCTGATTGCCTGCCTTGCTAGGCTTTTACTACAGTTTGAGATGAAGTTTATCTTTAGATACAACCATTAGGGTGAGTAATCTTGGGAAGACTCATATTTACATTGTCCTCTAGGCAAGGGCACCCAGGGATTAAGCATAAGGATTCCAGTAAACACCCAGGGGTCTGCACATACACAGACTTGTTTGAAAAGGTCAAGGAATAATTAGGGGTGCCACCCTCGACACTCCCTTAAGTCTCCCCTAAGTTGGAATTCCAATAAACAGGGCAGGTGGCCTTCCACACACTTCCCTTTTATCAGACTGTCCTCCTTACAAACTTTCCAACCAAGTCTCATGCTTCCCAACACAGCAGGAGTACCTTGTATGGAGTGTTTGAGAGGTAGAGAGGTTGTGCTGTCAGGGGTAGTGAGTTAGGGGGGAGAGAGGGAGTCAGAGAGGTAGCTTAGTCAGGACTTTACATTTTATTCTTGGAGAAATGGGAATTATGAGAGTGGCAGGACCCGGCTGCTGAGTAGAGTGGACTGGGGAGGAGAAGAGGAGCACCAGCCCTTGGGTGAGAGGATGGCCACTTGGTGTGGGGCAGTAGCAGATCTGTTAACCTCCCAGAGTGAGTGAATGAGTGGCCAGAAGGAGCTTCGGGAGGCACAGGTGGGTTGTGGGGAGCTGGTGGGAGGAGGATGTCCCTGTGGTGAGGTCCTAGGCCAGGATGGATCTGTGAGAGCCCAACAAGAAAGTGACTTCTGGGGCAGCCAGAATGGCATGAGGGGTTCCTATCAGTGGATTGCTTAGGGAGGCACTCAAAGAAGGCAAATGCCAGTGCAGTTGGGACTCCAGGATCTCTGGTCGGATTCCCCTGCACGGGCCTGAAGCCCATTATTCTCCACACATTTAATCCTTTTTCTTCTTTCTCTTTAGAAAAAGATGGAAACAACACAAACAAGTAACTGAAAAGAAATGACTGTTTATTATTCTCAAATAAGGCACATCAAGTTCTGTGTATCTTTCTCAGAAAATTAGATTTCACATTCTTGCAGCAAATGGAACATGAAATAATTGAAAGGATCCAGTGAGATATCTGTTCAAACTCTGTGCCAGCTGCTGTCACTTTAAAAGCCACAGAGGGCTCTCCACAGTGCACCTGCCTCAGACAAGTAACGGAGTTACACCTGGATCTCACGGCGGCCACCTGCCACCTTTGGAAGCAGATGCCTGATTCTAGCAGAAAATCCTGTGTTTGTCCTCTCCCCATCTCCCCTCCCCACAAAAAAAAAAAAAGCATGAGTGGGTCCAGATGTGCTTGGGCATTGAAACAGAAGAAGTCTCAGAAACAGTCTCATGGAGGGCGGAGCCTAGCGTGGTAATATGTAAAACGTGGCTTTGGATGAAGAACAAAGGGGCAGTAGAGTTACTTCTATTGGCTGCTCTCTGGGTCTCTTGGTGTCCTGAGAGTTCAGCCTACTTATTGTCAAAGTATCAAAGACTAGCCCAGCCTGGAAATGGGAGACACCTCTGCTTTTGGCAAGAACCTCATTCACTCAGAACACATTGCCTCAGTAGATGACCTCAGAGCCACGGGCAGGACCCAGGACTGTCAAGATACTGAAACAGGACGTCCAGGTATGACATTGTGATTTATAAGAAATATCTCTTCGGTCTTCATCCCCATTTAGGCACAGAGCTCCTAAAATTCTTGTAGTTTCCTAAGTGGTGAGAGTGCTGAAGGTGTCTTTTGCTGTGTCCCACTCAACCCCCAACCTCTGGGGAGTGGGGAGGGGCTGGAGATTGAGTTCACTCACCAGTGGCCAATGGCTTACTCTCTTGGACCTATGTAATGAAACCTCCATAAAACCTGAAAAAGACAGGGTTCGGAGAGCTCGGGTAGGTGAACACATGGAGGTGCTGGGAGAGTGGCACAGGAGAGGGCATGGAAGCTCGTGCCCTTCCCCCATACCTTGCCCTATGCATCTGGCTGTTCTGAGTTACATCCTTTTATAATAAACTAGGAATCTAGTAAGTAAAATATTCTTCTGGGTTCTGTGAGCCCCTCTAGCAAATCAGTTGAGTCCAAGAAAGGGGTTGTCAGAACCTCTGATTTATTGCCTGTCAGTCAGAAGCACAGGTGACAGCCTGGACTGGGGGACTGGCCTCTGCAGTGGGGCAGGAGTGGCAGTCTTGTAGGACTGAGCCCTTTATTTACAGGTAGATAGTGTCGGAAGTGAGTGAAATTGTAGGGCACCTAGCTGATTTCAGAGAATTGCTTGGCGGTGTGGAAAAAACCCACATTGTACCAGGCTTACCCAGAGAGACGATCAAGTGAATGTATAAAAAGTCAAAATAAAACGTTCAGAAGAGGCAAATCTGTAGAGTTGGAAAATAGATTAGTGGTTGCCAGGGCTGGGGAGGAGGAAATGGGGAGTGACTGCCGATGGGCTTCTTTTTGAGGTGATGAACATGTTCTAGAATTAGATGGTGGTGATGGTTGTACAAACTCTATGGATATACTACAGCCACCAATTCTTCCCTGGCCGGGTGGCTCACTGGTTGGTAGTGTGAGGAGACATCAACATGGGGGCCCTGGCACTAAATGTGACAATGTCTATGGCCAACCCTGTTACAACAGTACTGCCTCGATTCACAAAACCAACCACCAGGTATTGGCATTACTCTCATTGCCTTGCAGACCTGCAAGGAGAGTGGGGGTGCAGGGTCTCCTCAAAACCCATCTCTTTGCTCTTTATCTTTGGTGTGAATTTCCAAAGCTGTGTCAATACTCAATTGCCCCCACTTAGGGTCCGGCCTTAGGTGGAGTGTTAGGTTCACACAGAGGCGCCTCTCAGGCATGAGCTGAGCTCCAGGGCTGAAGGGAAGCAACTCTGACCCCACCTTAACCTGACAGCTCACCCTCCCCAGGAGGCCAGGCACGGAGGCCTGTGGAGAGGAGAAGAGGAGTCAGAGGAGCTGGTGCTACAGGAGATGCCCACACGGCAGCCAGGTCAGGACTAAGGCAGAGGCCATGGGGTCCTCAGTGCAGGTGGGAATCTCACTGCTGGCCTAGCCAGGCTGCTTTGGGAATTGAACTGCTAGATTCCACTGGAATATTAAAAAACCTAAATATTTATTTGCATCATATTTACAAAAGTGGGAAGGAGACTAGGGGAAACCCTGAGAACACCCCACATCTGGCTGACCAGCCCCTTGGCGCTGCAGAGGAGGCGGACACAGCTGGAAGGAACAGGATTTATGTTGCATACTTGAACTACAGCGAGTGTAAGACTGGTCCTATTTACAGGGCAGAAACACTACGGGTGGAGGGGGGGCAGCAGAGCAAGCACCGGAGTCCTGGCCAGAGGGTGCCCTGCTTGCCACCTTCCCCACCTCTCCCAGAGGCATCTCTGTGGCCCCGCTGGGGTTCTCCGGGGGGAACAGGGCCGCTCACATGATGCTCGCCGGGGTGAAGACAGGGCCCACGCACAAGGTGTCTGTGATCTCCCAGCCGCAGGACAGAGGCTTGCACATGCCCTCAGCGTCCTCATCCTGTTCTGCAGGCAGCGGCTGCTCTCGCAGTGCTTTCCTGTGGGTGAGAGAGGGGCGCTGGAGGCCACCAGCGTGGGACCTGCTGGCTGGGGGCTCCTGATGGCCCTGCACCAGAAGACCTGGCCCCCATTGGGTATAGGGGTTTCACCTGAGCCCCAGAGCCCAGCCTATGGTAAGAGAAGGCCTGCTGACCATCTCCCCCACCCTTGTAGTCCAACACCCCCAAGAAGGAAAGGAACCCACATTTGTTGAACACTTACTATGTGGCAGACATTGTGCCAGGCACTTTACTTATCTAATTGTATCCTCCCTCCCCCAAACCCTGTAAGAGCAGCATTATCACCCCCATTTTACTGAGACAGAGAGAAGTGACCTGCCCAAGGTTACAGGGCAGAAACTCTACGGGTGGTGGGGGGCGGGGGGAGCAGCAGGTGGTAGAACTAGGATTTCACCCAGCTCTCTCACTCCCACACTCTTCATACTCCAGGCTTGGCACTTAAAAAAATTATCTCCTGCCCCCATTCAAAAAATCCCACAGACTCTTTCTCCTCCTACCTACCCATGTTGCTATGGGGCTCCACCCTCTGATCAGCCACGAGTTGGGAATCTTATCCTCACACCCAGTGATCCTGCTGACCCAGCTCCTGAACCTCCTTACAGCACACACCTCTCTCCACTACCACTGCCACCGCCATCTCTAGCCGGGAATGCACAGTCTCCCAGATCTTCTCTGGCCTCCTCCAGACATTTCTAGCCCAGGGCCATCTTCCCAAACAGTAAATCCCTGCTCTTGAGTTGCCAGCAGTGTCCGCCCACTCTCCGGCCCCAGGAGGTCTGTCCCAGCTGGCCTCTCCAGCTGTGCCCTTCCTCACCTCCCGTGTGCCATCCACAGTAACCATCCTTCGGGCTCACACGCATCCCATCCCAGGCCTGTGCACGTACTTGTGCTTCCACCTGCATCACCAACCCTGACTAACTCCTCCTCAGCCTTCAGGTCTCAGCTTCAGTGACTGAATCTCAGGAAAGACTTTGCTTAATCGCACAGCACAATGTACTTCTTGATAAAGATAAGGGTTCAATATCTGCTTCAGCTACAGCACCCGTTCAACTACAGCCCTCCTTCAGCTACATCAGGGCAGGGAGTTCGTGCCTGGTGCCCCATGCTGGCACATAGTAAGCACTTACTCAGTGGAGAGGGTGGACACTCCTGCCATCCGTAGCCATCTCCCCAGCTCCGAAAGGGGCCTCTCCCCTGCTGACCAGCTGTGTGACCTCAAGCAAGTGACCTATCTGTGATAACACTCAACCCAGAGTTGTGTGTGGTTGAAGGAAATAATCATAAAGCCTGACAGGAGGGTTCAGCTAACAACGTTCCTCCCATCTTGCTCACTGGATCCCAACACTGGCCTGGTGAGGAAGCGGGGTCAGTTTTAGGCTCACTTTTTAGATGGGAAGATGGAGGCTAAGTGAGTGCCAATATTTCCTGGGTCATAGAGTAGCCACTCGACTGGTCAGCTCTATCCACACATGCCCTTGGCCTCCCTTAATCCACACAGTAGCTAGAGTGGCCTTTCTACAGTCCACATCCGATCACATCACTCCCCTGCTTCAAGCCAGTCCGTGCCATCCCCTTGCTGCTCAAAGCCCTTCTCAGTTTTTAAGGCCCTTCTCAGATGCAGCCCTGCTCCCTCCCCAGCCACGACCACCTTGTGTAGGATGCTCCCTCCCTGTTTCCTCTTCACAGAACCCTCTCCTGCCCCTCCTGCCCCTCCTGCTTCTTGCTGCCTAACTCCCACTCATCTCCCGGCTTCACTTCACCTTTCCTTCCTCTGGGAGGTGGATCTGGGCCCCAGGGAGGAATCTAAGAGCCTGCCCCCTCCACCCAGCACAGAATTTATCAGGAGTCCTGTCTGCTTCTCTGTGTCTCCTACTCAAGGGAAGCTCAGTCTCATTCATGGCCACAGCCAGGTGCCAAGCACAGGGCTCATTTGGAATCAATAACCAAGGGCTACTTGTCAAATTGGATTTCCCAGAAGCCGGGTCTCAAACCTAAGGTTTCCCTCACTGCTTCTGCCTAGCCCACTCTTTCTCCCCCACCCCGCTCCATCTCCCAGCAGGGCCCCCTTACCAGGCCACCCTGGACATGGCATAGGTGATGCGGCAGGTCTGGATCCCTCTGAAGAGGGAACCCATGCCCACAGTGTAGGCGCCCATGTTCTCAAAGACCAGCCAGTCCCCTATGTGTAGTTGCGGCAGCCACAGGCCCTCAGCTACACAGTCACAGCCATCAGCCGCCGGGCCCCACAGGCTGCTGCTGTACAAGGGCTGCTCTGTGGAAGGTTTCTGTAGGAAAGAGGGTTGAGCACATTCAGCTTTCCTGGGCTGACTGTTCACAGCCTTATCACTCCCTCCCTCAAAAGCCTCCATGGCTCCCATAGCCAATAGGGTAAAGACTGGATGGGCCTCCTAGCCTGGCATTTAAGCCCTCCCACTTTTCTGTACTCATTGCCTCATAAGACTCTGAAGCCACAATGCCTGGTGTTAAATCCAGGCTCCAACACTTGCTAGTTGTGTGTCCTTGGGCAATATTCTTAACCTGTCCTGGCTGAAAGGTTGTGGGTTTGAGCATCACTTTACACCGAAAGGTTGTGGGTTTGATTTCTGTCCCTGGCCCAGTTGGGACATTCCTGGCCCCAGTTGGACACATCCGGGTGGGGGGTGGTGGGGTGGTGGGGAGCAACCTGATGACATTCTCTCTCACATTTGTCTTTCTTTCTCTCTCTCTCTCTCTCTCTCTCTCTCTCTCCCTCTTCCCCTCTCTCTAAAAATTAATTTAAAATGTCCTTGGATGAGAATTAAAATTTTTTTTGATAAATATTTAATTCATACAAAAGAATATTTGTATCATCTGTAAGATATAGGAAAATTTCCAGTATCTTTGAAACTCCTATGTGGCCCACACCAATGACAGGCCTTCTGAGGTAGCCATTATCCTGAATTTTGTTTTCATTATTCTCTTGCTTTACTTTGTTTTCCAAAAACATACCTAACCTTAAACAAGATAGTATTTAGTTCACACACTTTTAAAATATATGTAAATGGAATTATAGGGTGTAATCTCTACAACTTGCTTTTTTGTTGCTGAAACTTACACGCTCAAGATTCCAACTAATGCAATTTGCAGTATGCTGCATAGAAAATTCATTATATGAAATACACTGTAATCTATTTATGTATTACCCTGCCAACAAACATAAGGTGGTTTCCAATGTTTTATATTATAAAAATTGCTCCTGTGAACATTCTTATATATCTCCTCAAACACATATGCCAAGAATCTCTTTACAGTATATACCTAGGAACTTGCTGGAAGGTAGGGTATATGCATGTTTATCTGAGTAATGCCTACCAACTCCCACCTACCTAGCTCCATGTCCTCACCAACACTTGATACTGCTTGCTTTAAACTTTTTTCTAATGTAGTCAGTATAAAATGGTACCTCATTTTCACTTCAATTTGCATTTCCTTGATTGCCAACGAAGTTGAACACCTTTTCATTTTGCATTTGGTTTTCTTCTTCTTGAACTGCCTGTTAGTCTTTTGCCCATATTTCTATTGCTTTCTATTTCACATTGTTTTTTCCTTAAGGTTCTTATTTGTCTGTATTTCTTAGTTAAGAATCCTTCATATATTCTGTATACTAAGCCCTTATCAGTTTTATACACATTTCACTATTTTCCCCCAGTTTATGATTGCCTCTTTCCTTTTGCTAACAGATGAACAGAAGCTCTTCATTTTAATGTAGGCAGTCTTTTCCTTTTTTATTTTTTTATTTTTTTTACATTTTTTTAATATATTTTATTGATTTTTTGTAGAGAGGAAGGGAGAGGGATAGAGAGTTATTAACATCGATGAGAGAGAAACATCGATCAGCTGCCTCCTGCACATCCCCCACTGGGGATGTGCCCGCAACCCAGGTACATGCCCTTGACCGGAATCGAACCTGGGACCCTTCAGTCCGCAGGCTGACGCTCTATCCACTGAGCCAAACCGGTTTTGGCTTCCTTTTTATTTTTAAGATATCCTTCACTGTGCCTACATTAGTTTCTGGAGTTTATATTCATGTATGGTGTGAGATAGGGGTCCAATTTCATTTTTTGCATATGGACAATCAGGTGTTCTAGCATCACATATTACACAGTCCCCCATGACCTGCCTTGCGAGCCCTGTCAACACTTTTCACATGTGTGGTTCTTTTCTGTGCTCTCAACTGCATTTTTTAAAAATATATTTTATTGATTTTTTACAGAGAGGAAGGGAGAGAGATAGAGAGTTAGAAACATCGATGAGAGAGAAACATCGATCAGCTGCCTCCTGCACATCTCCTACTGGGGATGTGCCCACAACCCAGGTACATGCCCTTGACTGGAGTCGAACCTGGGACCTTTCAGTCCACAGGCCGACGCTCTATCCACTGAGCCAAACCGGTTTCGGCTCTCAACTGCATTTTGATGGTCTATTTTTTATGCTGGTGTCCAACTAAACTATTTTAATTACTCCCAAGGTTAGAAATTATATTATCTGTTTCTATTATTTTAGTGGTTACTCTACACATTCACATTTTAACAAGCATGCCTAACTTCAAGTCAGAAATTAATCAATATCTTTACCTTTCTCTCAAATAATTCAAAATCTTAGAACACCAACTTGGTCACTTTATCTCCCAACTTACATTCTATTGCTAGCCAGTGTTTTATTCTATCTTATTTGTGGCAAGGGCTGCTAATAGCCCATTGCAGTAATGTCAACCCTCAATTTTTACTGGGCACATGACCACCTAGAATGAAGGCCAACTTCCCTTCCAGGTAGTGATGGCCATGGGATAAAAGCCTAAGTATTGTGAGGCTACTTTCAGGAACTTTCCTTAAAAGACAACTGGCACATGGACTTCACCTTCTTTCCTAAATGCCTGGAGCTTCCATTTGTACCAACCAAGATGAAGGCAACACCTAAAAGTAGGTACAACTGGAAGCCATATGGCTCCATGTGACCATGAAACCATGGTACCAGCTCTGAATTATCTGCATCCAGACATTTAGATTGGAGTGAAAGGAGCTTTATATCTTATTCAAGTCGTGTAATTTGGGATCTGCTACTCACAGCCTAACCTAACCATAAGTTAACCTGTTTTTAACCCCACAAATTAGATGTTAATGATGGTGTGGAGAAAATTTAGACCCTCCCACTCTCTTATACACTGCTGGTGGGATTGTCAATCAGTACCACCACTTTGGGGAACAGTCTGGCACTGTCTCATGAAGCTGAACATTTGTATGCCATGTGCTCAGTGGTTCCACCCTCTGCTCATGCATCACAGAGACCAAGAATATTCATAGCAGTAAGCACAGTCACAAACACTTGGACACAATCCAGATGCCTGGAGAGGAGAATGGATGCAAAGTTGCACATATTCACTGGCAGAGTGTTACACAATAGTCAAATGAAGAACTTTAGAGACATACGGCAGTGTTGAGGAGACTTAGACTGGATATTAAGTGTTTTAAAAAGCCCAACACTCTTTTTGTAAAGTAAAAAACAAAATATAATTATTTTATGAATGGTCAACAGGTATGTGAAAAGATGCTCAGTGTCACTAATCATAAGAGAAATGCAATTTAAACCACAATGAGATATCACCTCACTCACAGCTGTTAAGGTGGCTATTATCAAAAAGACAACATGTGTTGGCAAGGTTGAGGAGAATTGAACCCTAGTGAGAATGCAAAGTGGTGCAGTCACTGTGGAAACCAGTATGGAAGTTTCTCAAAAAATGAAAAATAGAACTACTGCCCTAGCCAGTTTGGCTCAGTGGATAGAGCATGCACCTGCGGACCAAAGGGTCCTGGGTTCGATTCTGATCAAGGGCATGTACCTTGGCTGCAGGCTCCTCCCTGTCCCAGGCCCTTGTCAAGGCCCATGCAAGAAGCAACCACTCAATGTGTTTCTCTCACATCGATGTTACTTTCTGTCTTTCTCTCTCTCTCCCACTTTTCCTTAAAAAATCCATGGAAAAATACCCTTGGGTGAGGATAAATAAATATAGAACTTCCATGTGATCCAGAAGTCCCACTTCTGGGTGTTTATCCAAAATAATTGGTTCTTTCTGGGGACAATAGGATGTGGGATCCCACAAGAATGCAGGCAGTGCTAGTGCATCACAGTATAAAACTGAATTCCTGGGCACATCAGGGCAACTGACTGAGACAGGCAGACATAACCCCATTTAACAGCACAACTATAGGATGAGGACCAATTAAGTCAAAGGAGGCCTGCCCCACAGGAGCTGACATGTGACTGGGCCTTGAAAAACTAGACAAAATGGAGAAGAAAAAAACACACACACTGAAAGCTCGTGATGGTGTAGGTGCTGGTTAGGCTCTTAATTTCCTTCCAGAAGCAGGACCACACAAACAGAGGCCTGGAAATGTGAAAATACAAGGGTGTGTCTGACTTTCTCTTTGAAGATGCCCAGGAAGCGGTGGGAGGCCTGGGCTGGTTCGCAGGCTAGGAGGAATGTGTTGCACATTCCCGTTCTCTGTTAACATGGGAAAGCTCATGAGAGAGGAGCTGTTTCTTTTTACTTCTAGGAATTTACCCCAGAGCAATGATCAGAGATGGATGTCAAGATATACTCACAGCGCTCAAAAACAGGAAACCAATGGCCAACCACTAAAGTCAGATGGGTTAAAATATTCTGCAGTCATCAAAAAGCATGCTGTCAGAGATTAGTTGATAGCATGGAAAGAGCTACCCCCGTCTTAAACAGGGAAAAGCAGGTTACAAAACAATATGACCCCAACCTTATGGGGAAAAAATATAATACATATTTTTAAAGACTGAAAAGAAATCTATGGGGAAGGTTTATAGGTGCTAACCTTCTTCATCCTTGTCTATTTTCTACAATGATTACGCTTTACTTTTAAAAATTAGATAACACCACACAAAAATGTTATTTAAACACCCACACAATTGAAAACAGGCCAATTGAAAGTGGCTCACCTTCTGCAGGACGGGGGTAGGGCAGGTGTTGTCAAACAGGACTGAGTTGAAGATTCCATAGATGCCCTCATCGAGTTGGTACACGATGGTCTTGGGGGCAGAACCGGTTTCCTCTGCAGGGAGGGGAGAGGTCAGGGGCAAGGCAAGCAGCAAGATGGGGTGGGGGGGTGGGAGTAGGAAGCTGGCACAATGGTGGGCTCCACAAAGATGATGGCGACGGTAATGAAAGGGTTGCCCCTGCCTCCTGCTGTGTGTGACATGAGGTTCACTGCCTTGTTGGAAACATTCACCCTTGTAGCTGATCAGCGCTGCCCAAGACACATGCCTTGTCTGCAACAGACCTTGATGCCCCAGCAGAGGCAGAAGAGCAGGCCAGACAAACTCAAGACCCCAAGAGATGAAGCCACTAGCTCAGAGGCACACAACTGGGGCAACGCATGAACTGGAATTAGAAGCCAGGTCTCCCGGTGGGAATAGATAGGACAATCCCCCTGAATCTATAAAGGAGGCCAGGAGAATCAATCTCTCTCTCTCTCTCTCTCTCTCTCTCTCTCTCTCTCTCACACACACACACACACACACACACCCCATTCTACCTGAAGCCCACCACCCCTCCATATGGATTCTCTTGTGGGGCTGCCGAGAGGACTGATCTATCAGGAAGTGCAGGAAACAGCGCTGATGTTAGCAGGGTGGGCAGAGATGTCTTGAGTCAGCCCAGCCTAAACTTGAATACCAGCACTGCCCCTTATCAGCTGTGTGACCTTGGGCTAGTGACTCAACCTCTCCTTGCCTACCTCTGTCCTCTGTAAAGTGGGCTTAGACAAATATAAGTTGTCATTAATGGTTTTCATTATGTTAGAGATGCAGTTGGGTGAGTAAGAGCCTGTACTCAGGAGAGGAGACAAACATGGGATCAAATGCAGGCTTTACCTCTTTACAGCTTTAAGCAATTCACTTATATTTTCTTTGAGTCTCAATGTCCTCATCTGTACAATACAGTTAATAAAATACCTGTTTTACCTAAGGTGGTTTTGATCTTAATCTTCATAAAATACGAGCATGCATGGGATGAAAGATGCTACATGAGTGTCGGGAGTGAGGCGACTTGATTGTAAGTCTTCCTACAGCAAGGACCCAGTCTCTAGATTCCCCCACTCCCTTACACCAGACCCTGCTCGGCCAGCCAGTCCTTAGCTCCAGGGAAGAACGAGGCTCCGAGAGCCAACTGGCACCTACCTTCCCTGCCAGGCTGGTCCAGAAGAACCTCCTTCTTGGCGATGATGCTGACTGCCAAGGTGAAGGCTGAGGTCACGTAGTAGCGGCCCAGCTTGGCAAAGATGTCCACGCCACAGCCCTCCGGGAAGTACAGGTCCAAGGCCGAGTTGATTACAGAAGCAATCTGGTGGCAGGAGAATGGGGGTGGACAACTACATGTTTGAAAGTGGGGTTTATGCTGAAAACTTGCTACAGCTCCAAGTCTGTTTCTTTTTCTTTTCTTTTTTTTAAATATATTTTTATTGATTTCAGAGAGGGAGAGAGAGGGAGGGAGAGAGAGAAACATCAATGATGAGAGAGAATCATTTATCGGCTGCCTTCTGTACGCCCCCTACTGGGGATTGAGCCCACAACCTGGGTATGTGCCCTTGACCAGATTCGAACCTGGGACCCTTCAGTCCACAGGCTGACGGTCTGTCTACTGAGCCAAACCGGCTAGGGCCCAAGTCTATTTCTTGAAAACTACTTTGATTTCAGAAAAAGGGACTTGGCAGCCGCTAAGGCCCCAGCTGGTAACCATGAACAGCTGGCCAAGAAGGTAGGCGGGAGACAGAGCTGGGTAAGGCCCCTCACACTTGTGTAAATCGGCCTTCTCAATGCCCCCACAGTGGGAAGAGGCACTCTTAAAGTAACACGTGGTACTCAGATTCCAGAAGCCCTGGGTGGATTTTTCTTTCATAAATAACCAATTTGTTAAATGACATGATTTTTTTTTTTTACAGAAAATAGAGCCACAAAGAAGGATCAAAATCACTCCTAATTTCAGCATGGATGGATCTAGCAGGGGTCCTCAAACGTTTTAAACAGGGGGCCAGCTCACTGTCCCTCAGACAGTTGGAGGGCCGGACTATAGTTTAAAAAAAACTATGAACAAATTCCTATGCACACTGCACATATCTTATTTTGAAGTAAAAAAACAAAACGGGAACAAATACAATATTTGTATTTGCATGTGGCCCGCAGGCCGTAGTTTGAGGACCCCTGATCTAGAGGGTATTATGCTAAGTGAAATAAGTCTGTCAGAGAAAGGCAACTACCATATGGTTTCACTTATATGTGGAATCTAAAGAACAAAATAAAGGAACAAACAAAATTGAACAGACCCATTGACACAGAGAACAGACTGATTGTTGCCAAAGGGGCAGGGAGCTGGGGCACTGGGTAAAAAAGGTGAAGGGACTAAGAAGTACAGACTGATAGTTACAAAATAGTCACAGGGATGTGAAGTACAGCATAGGGAATATAGCCAATAATATTATAATAACTATGTATGGCGCCAGGCGGATATTGGAAATATTGGGGAGAACATTTTGTAAAGTATATTATTAACCACTATGCTGTCCACCTGAAACTAACACACAACAATATTGAATGTAAACTGTATTTAAAGTTCTTTTTTAAAAACACCTTTCCTAATTCTGTTATCCAGATTAACTTAATCATTAACTTTTTGGAGTAGCTCTAATTCTTTTTTTTATACAAACACTATTTTTTATGATAAACAAGATAGAGTTATACACATATGTTTTTTATAACCTGTTTTACTCAATAGACTGTGAATGTAAATATTTTCATCATAAGAATGTTTCATAATTTAACCAATCCCTGGTGTTAGGTGGACCAGGGAGGTCCCGTGGAATTCTGTGACATGCAATGCTGCAATGTTCATCTGTGAGGCTAATTCTTTGTGTCGATAGCAGGTTATTTTCCTAGGTCAGTCCTAGATGTGGATATTCCCCAATGAAGCTCTTACTGCTGAGGAGAAGCGACCCCTAGTGGGTGGAGTGGGGATTGAGCGACACATTTTTCTGGATTTCATCTCACAGATGGGAAGGTGGACAGGTTTGCTTTCCTTTTCCTGCCCTCTCAATTGATTTCTCATCAACCCAGACCTTCAGAAAGCTTTATGAATTATAAAAATATGGCCTGGTTGAGCCTCAAACAAGTGCATGGTCTGGAGCTAGGCAGAGCTGGGGTGAGGCCAGCTCTACCGTGGACTCAGGAAGTGACATAACTTCATAAGCGGCATTTGCTCAGCAGGAGCTCAAGGTTAATAATAAGATCCAGGTAAAGCACCAAGCACAGGACTCAACACATAGGATCAGCTCACAGTGGACTCCCTATCGGCATTATAACCCCCCCCCGCCCCCCTCCCCCGCACAGAGCCCAATGGGACACTTCTGACCCCAGGATTACCTCTTCGAATCTCACTTTGGCCCCCTCCACTCCAGGAAAGCCACCACCAAGGTCCAGGATGTGCATCCTGTGGCCCAGCTCGGCGCCCATTTCAAACACAATCCGGGCGTCAGCGATGAACTGAGCATAGGCCTCAGGGTCAGGACAGCAGCTGCCAACGTGAAAACTGGGGGAGGAGGAAAAGCCTTGGCTTACACGCAGGGCCCCAGGTGCCACGACCTCAGCCCCAGCCAGGAAAGGCACACTGGACATGTGCCCATTTGACAGATGTGATGACTGAGGGCCTAAGAGGTTAAATGGGCGGCTGAGGGCCACATGGCAAGTGAAGAGTGGGCAGGAAGCTTGGCACTTGGTGCCCCTGCCATCCCTCCATTCTGCCCCTAGGACTGAGCCTTCTGGGACAAGTCAGCCAGATCTGGGTGCCTCTCTCCGTCAGTGGTGTGGCCTGCCTAGGCTTTAGCTTCCCCATCTGTTATGTGGGGATAAGACCCCACAAGGCTGTGAGGTAATGCACATGTAACATTTAGCACAGGGCCTGGAATGTCCTAAGTACAGAATAAATGAAGGCTGTGTTGTTAAGTCATGGCAAGGATGTGGCCTACAGGCTGGTACAACTCCTAGAAAGCCAGGTCCCTCCTGGGGCCTCCTAGTACAAGACCTGGGGAGTGTGAGGTTGGGGCAGTAGGACATGCCAAACCCTCTTTACAAAGAGAGGAAACCCCCCAAAAAAGAATCCCAGGCCCAGGGACAGGCTCTCCTTGGAGGACCTCGGGGAGGTCTCATACAGAATGAATTCCTGGGAAAGAGGCAGCGGGCCGGTGTGGGAGGAGGTGGTGGGGCCTCCAGACACTCACCTCACACCCACCACCTCCACGTGGCTCTTCTTGGCGTTCTGAAGCAGGTGTCTGCAGGAATCCAGCAAAGCTCCAAACTTGAGGCTGAGGCCGCTCTGGGAGTGGGAGTCATCGGTGGCGATGCACAGCAGCAGCCTGAGGGGAGACAGCACCTCTGCCGGGTGGGCCCGCCTCCCCCACCCCAACCACTTCTTCTCCGAGTCAAGGGGTGTGAACCCCTGCGGCTCAGAGCCCTCCAACCCCACAGGCCCCCGACCCCTTCCTCTCCCTGCACAGCCAGTGGGCCTCTGAGTCCCATCCATTCCATTCCCTAAACATGCCTAGGCCCTTCCCTGCAGCCCCTGCCCTGGTCGCGACCTCTCTAATTCTCCCCGGCAGTTCCACTTCCTCCGAATCAGCCACGACACCAGCCGGGCTTTTCCAGCTTCTCTTGTAGGAGGGAAGCCATCCTGTTTTTCAGACACAGTCTTGCTGAGAACCCCGATGTCGTGTATAACAGACAAAATGGAAGCTGCTGTGGGTGAACCAGAGTGGCCCACCCGCTGGCTCCCCTTCACCCCGAGGCCCCTCCATGGAATCCCGGGGCACAAGTGACCATGTGAGGGCCTCAGCCTGAGCAAACCGTCCAGTGCTGACCCCCGGCAAAGCCCAGGTCCCTGCCCCGTGACCAGCATCGTTCACTGTCTCCCTCAGCCCTCGCACATGGTATGTTCGCACTACATTTCTGCTTGTCCCTCGAAGACCCCGTGCTATTTCTGACCTCCGTGCATTTGCTTACACAGTTGGCTCTGATGCACTGTATGTGCCCTCCCCAAATTCAATTCACTACTCAAGGCCCAGCTGAAATGCCACCTCCTTCATGAACCTTCCCCAACCACCCCATCTCAGCCATGACTTCGACCTCCATCACACTATGGCTATAATCAGTTATCTCTGCCTTTGTCAGAGGCAGGCCCTGGCATCCTTGGTCCAGTCCAAGGGCGCCTGCCCCCATCCCCTCTGACCGTTGGGGCCAGGGCAGGGTCCTTGCTCCAGCTCCACTCCTCCCACCCCTCCGCCTCCCATATGAGTGGCTCTCGGCTTACTTGGCACTGGAGTGGTTCTTCACCACCTTTGCCAGCTCCATCTCGTTGTCAAAGCTCAGCAGCTGGATCCCGTACTTGGCAGCATACTTGATCTGTGCAATTTGCTTACAGGGATTGGCGAAGATGATCTTACTGGCAGGGACGCCAATACGCTGGACCAACTCCATCTCTGCCTGTGGAGTCCCAAAGGTGGTAGTGAGGAGGCACCAGGGCCGGCTGGGCCCACAGAAGCCAAGGAAACACAGATGAGGGGCAAAATCCTAGCTATGCATGCAGAGATCCCTACGAAGTGGGCCTCGCTGTTCAACAGCAGATATTACAAACCGGGACTCCTGCTGGCTCCCCACCGTTTGACAGGCAGGGCTGCCAGGTATGGCTGCACAGGTGATGCTCTGCACAGTCCGGGGGTCCCATTCACAAACAACACATGGTAGATGTGTGTATTTATTACAGCTTCCAGGCAGTAAAGCCTCTCCTTCTAACAAAGACAGTACATTATTGTAACAACTGAGTGTCTTAAGGAAGGGGCACATTTCCTAATTCACACAAAGGCATTATGTGGACTCAGTGGCCCTGGCAACAGACTTCTGACACACTTTCCTGGCAGGTTTAAATGCTCACAGAATGTTAGTTGATGTATAAGGAAGTTCATAGGAAGTTCATTCAGGAGTCTGACACAGGCCTGCTGTGTGTATAGCCCCTCTCCCCACGGGCCCCTTCTCTCTCTCGCCTTTACAGAACACTGCTCCATCTGATGGTTGCATTAATGATACAATGATGATGACAATGACAGCAACCATGATCATTGAGCACCTACCACAAGCAGGTGCCCAATGAGATGCTTATTACATCAGGTTTCTACAAAGGGCCAGAGAGCAAATAGTTCAGGCTCCATCCACACCGTTTCTGTCACAATTACCCCACTGCCATTGCAGCCACAGACAATGCATAAGTGAATGAGCAAGGCTGGGACCCAATACAACTTCACAGATCAGGTGGGCTGAACCGGGCCCACACCCACTGCTTACCAACCCTCACTGTAGATTCACTGTTTTATTTACTCCTCACGGTAACCCCATCAGATGGGTATTAGCTCCATTCAACAGAGAAGGAGCCTGATGCTCAAAGAGGCCATGTAGCAAGTAAGTGGCAGAACCAACTTTCACACTCGGGTCTGACTCTCCATGATTAAGGGACGGAACTTGAGAGGAAGTCAGTTTGTACACATGGTGGGAGACAGAGGCCATTTTTAACCAGCCTGAGTTTGTAATAAGACTCTAGTTTTCATTTAGCACCTTTTCAGCACAAGGTGTTGATGCGCATCATCTCGAGTGATGCCTATAACTATCTGAAATATTCGTTGGTCACATTTTACAGATGCCAGAGAGGTCCGCCTGCCGGTGGTGACAGCCAGGACACAAAGGTCCGAGTCCAGGACCGGACAGCTCGCTCCCCAAGAGCCTGGGTCTGAGTGGCTACGAAGCTGCTTTATTCCCCACTTCACCACGTAAGGTGAGAGGAAGAAGCAGTGCTAGCCCTTTGGGGACCTGAGGTTTAGCTTTGATTATAAATATTTAAATAATAACCATCATTGTCATCATGGAAATATGCAAATCAAAACCACAATGAGATATCACCTCACACCTGTCAGAATGGCTGTCATCAAAAAGAAACAACAAGCAAGGTGCAGAGAAAAAGGAACCCTCACACACTGCTGGTGGGGATGTAAATTGGTGCCACCACGATGGAAAACAATATGGAGGTTTCTCAAAAATGAAGACCTGTGATCGAGCAATCCCACTTCTTGGTAGTTATCTGAAGAAATAAAAAACACTAATTCAAAAAGATATACGCAGCCCTATCCAGCTTGGCTCAATAGATAGAGCATTGGCCTGCAGACTAAAGGGTCCCGGGTTTAATTCCAGTCAAGGGCACATGCCCAGGTTGTGGGCTCGATCCCCAGTAGGGGGCATGCAGGAGGCAGCCAATCAATGATTCTCTCTCATCATTGATGTTTCTATCTCTCTCTCCCTCTCCCTTTCTCTCTCTGAAATCAATAAAAATATATTTTTAAAAAGATATATGCACTCCATGTTCACTGTAGCATTATTTACAATAGCCAAGATGTAATATTCCATACATATACAATGGAATATTACTCAGCCATAAAAAAGAATGAAATCTTGCCATTTGCAACACAATCAATGGACTTAGAACGTATTATGCTAAGTAAAATAAGTCTGACAGAGAAAGGCAAACACTGTATATGATTTCACTTCTATGTGGAATCTAAAAAGCAATAAACAAGACAACAAAAAACCCTCATAGATATAGAGAACAAACTTATGGTTACCAGAGGGAAAGGGAAATGAGAGAAGGCAAAAAAAAAAAAAAAGGTGAAGGGGAAAAATAGGTACAAATTTCCAGTTATAAAATACATAAGTCACCCTGGCCAGGTGGCTCAGTTTGTTGGAGCATCATCCCATACACCAAAGGGTTTCGGGTTTGATTCCTTGCCAGGGCACATACCTAGGTTGCAGGTTCCATCCCCTATTGGGGCGCATACAGGAGGCAACCAATCGATGTTTCTCTCTTTTTCTCTCTTTCTCTCCCTTTCTTTTTCTAAAATCAATAAACATATCCTCAGGTGAGGATTAAAAAAATACATAAGGCATGGGAATGTAATGCACAGCACAGAGAATACAATCAATAATATCGTAATAACTACGTAAGGTGACAGATGGTTACTAGACTTATCACGGTCATCACTGCGTAAGGTGTATAAAAGTCTAATCACTGTGTCATACACCTGAAACTAATATAATATTGCATATGTCAACTATAATTTTAAAATAAATTTTTAAAAAGAAAAACATAACCGTATGCCAGCCACTGCATCAAATATTTTATTTATATTCTTATTTAATCTTTATAATAATCTTATGAGATCGGAAACAGAGGCTTAGAGAGGTTAAGTCACTTGTCCAAAGTAACACAGTTGGTAAGCGGCACAGCTGGAAGTCTAACCCAGAACTGTCAGACTTGAGCACGCCAGCTCTTAGCCACAGGACCATGGAGAATTCACCCTCGATCCTGAGCTGACACGTGTTCCTGGAGCTCTAGGAGTTGCCAGGCTCCGTGCTGGGTGCTATGAAAAGAAGTGGTGCCCTAACCGGTTTGGCTCAGTGGATAGAGTGTTGGCCTGCGGACTCAAGGGTCCTGGGTTCGATTCCGGTCAAGGGCATGTGCCTTGAGAAACCAAGATGGCGGCATAGGTAAACACCGGAGTTTGCTGCCTCGAACAACCACTTCAAAAATACAACTAAAAGACGGAACGGACATCACCCAGAACCACAGGAAGGCTGGCTGAGGAGAGACTCTTCAACTAGAAGGAAAAACAACAGCATTACGAGGCTTAGAGGAGGCGCAGTGTGGAAAATTTAAAGGTACGGTGGTGCGGCAGTGCGTGCGCAAGCGGGCTGGTGGCTGAGGGCGCGGTTGTCGTTTTCAATCAGGAGTGAGTCTCAGACTCTGGGCTACAGATCCGGGCGAGTCTCTAGGGACCCTGACTCAAACGGGAGAAGCGGGACTGTCTGGCTACGGTCCCTCCGAGGTTTGCAGCGGTTGCGGGGACAGAGAGGCAGAGCCCCTGGAGACGGACTGAGAGCAGCCATAGCTGCTCCCTCCCCCCGCCCTGTTGAGCCCGCCCCGCCCAAGCCCTGCGCAGAGCCATTTGCCGATCGCCTCAGGCAAAGGCTGGACTAGCGCCTCCCCAGAGGACTGAAGTTTTCCATACAGCTGATTCCTACAGCCAGTCGGCCTGGTGGTCAAATCCCTCTAGTGTTAACTACAACAATTAAGGCTTGGCTAGAACAAGACTGCGCACAAAGACCACAAGGGGGTGCACCAAGAAAGCATAAAAGATGCGGAGACAAAAAAACATGACAGAAATGGAGGATACGGAGCTAAGAATCGCAATTTTGAGGGCTTGCTATAAACTTGAGCAGAGCCTCACGAAAACTAATGAGACCCTCGATGCTACGATAAAGAAATTAGAAAGTAAGCATACACGGACTGAAATAAAGAATATTATACCCAATAGCAGACCAGAGGAGCACAAGAATCAAACCAAAGATTTGACAAAAAACACCCAACTGGAAAAGCAAAATGAAAAAAGAATCCGAAAGTGTGAAGATAGTGTAAGGAGCCTCTGGGACAGTTTCAAGCGGAATAATATCAGAATTATTGGGGTGCCAGAAGATGAGAGACAGCAAGATTTTGAAAACCTATTTCAAGAAATAATGGCAGAAAACTTCCCCCACCTGGTGAAAGAAATGGACTTACAGGTCCAAGAAGCGCAGAGAACCCCAAACAAAAGGAATCCAAAGAGGACCACACCAAGACACATCATAATTAAAATGCCAAGAGCAAAAGACAAAGAGAGAATCTT